GTAGCGTGAAAAGGTGATGTTTTGGAGATATGTCTGACCTACGCCTTGACTTGAAGACCCATGTGCCAACTCGACCCAAATCGTAGGTTTTTCTTTTTATTTTTTATTATTTTATTATTTTTATTTTATCTTTGTTTTATATTTTATTTTTTGTTTTATATTTTTTGTTTTTTTTTCTTTCTTTTTTTAATTATTAATTGCGATTGATTAAAAAATGATAAGAAAAGAAAAGAAAGAAAAAAATTTTGGTGAGATTTTAATAGTTTTATTTTCATAATTTTCTTTTTGATAATTAATTGCATTGTTTTTATTTTGATATTTTGGAATGAATAATCATAATATTATTTGCATGATTAATTATGATTAATGCATGATGCTTTTATATTGCATGATGTATTATAATATTTGCATGATTTTATTATGATATGATTTATTTGATTGTTTTGATTATAACATTATACCATCATATTTTTTATTTGCATGATGTTATTGTTATATGATTTATTTGCATGTTTTGATTACAACATTATTGCATGATATATTCTATGACATATTAATAGAACTTCTGTATAACAATATTGTGTAAATAAATAAAAAGAATTAGGATAGGAATTTAATGAGATATTTAATAAATTAGACGACGGAGCCTTTTCAAGTAAAAAATGAGTTTATATTAAATACTTTTGAGGTGAGGAAAAAAATTTTTTGGTGAAAGCTTGAAGACCTTTTTTCAATATTTAAATATCAAAATTAATAAAAACAAATCTTTGATTAAGGCTTAAACAAGATAATATGTGATTAATTTAGTACTAATTGTGGGCATAATATGTTGTTAATACTTTCCTTACACGTAATCGACTCTTGAATTTAGTTTTGTTGATATATATCAAAATCTATTATTTTTAGGTATCCTTAGTTTAAGCTTAGGACAACTTTAAAATGGATAGATTCACATAGGTAGTCAATCACACCTAGATAAAAAATATTGGTGGCAATTTTATAATTTTTGTGTCTAATGAGCAGGTTCTCATATCTGAATGTTATGACATCAGTCATCTTACAAATTACTTGGAGTGCTTGTATATATCAAGCATGAAAAGAAAAGAACCATAGATTATACAAGGATGAAAAAAAGACAATTAAATAGGTATTTGCTAGTAAATTTGATAATCTAAAATATAACACAGTGATATGATACAAAAATAGGATATAAAAGTGACATGGCTTAAAATTTTAGTACTAAGTATATGTGTTTAACAAAATTAAAAAAATATATTTCATGTTTTCATGTCAACATGAATTATGATGCGTAATTTTCATATAAAATATGATATGAATATATAAATTTCAGTATTTTATATGATACGAATAAATGAACCATGAGATTTATTTGCTAGAATACAAGATGCTATCAATAATCAATTAAAAGGCTTGCATTTGATTGTTGCTAACTCAATGAATAAGAATTTGTGTTCTACTTGAAATATTAATATTAATATATTAACTGCTACGTAAATAGTAAATGTTCGTATTGTTGAAAAATCAACACACATACATAGCACCCACACACAAAATAATAAGTTCAAATCAAGAATAAGAACACACAAATATACTTGTTTTGATCCGACTTAAAATGGCCTACTCCAAACCTAATCCACTACCAAATAAATCTTTACAATTGTGAGACTTTTGGAATGAGAAAAGTTACCTAAAACTTATTAATTAAAACTTAACTCAAAACTCAATTACACATTTTTAATAACCTACTCACTTAGCTATTCTTTTAGTATCTAACTATTTGGGATTATCAAACTATAATCAAAACATCTTATTTATAAGGGTGAAACCTTTTATACCTTTACTAAATTCCTAATGTAAGATACCAGACAAGCTCAAACCATTATAACATTATTTAACTTTCGATGTAGGATTATGAGATTCAAGCTAAACTCCAATAAATCCTCTTTTGACTTAAATCTTCAAACACTTCAACGGTATCTGTAAAGCTAATATACTTGCCCTTCTTCTTTTTCTTCGTCGAAGAAATCCCAGCAACTGAACCTCCATCAAACATGTACAAGTAATTTTGATCCTATTACCTTGTGGATCACATTACCATTCTTGTGCACATTCAACCAATTATTATTACCATAATACATGTATCCCCGAGAAGCTAACTCATCCAAAGCAATCAAATTATAGCTATAACTTCGTATATACTTTACAAGACGAAGTATCCTAACAACACTATTGTGAGATCTAAGGTAAACATTCCCAATGTCTTGAATCTACACCTTTTTATTATTGTCAACCACAATATCATCATACTTTTCATTCTCTTTCAACTTCACAAAACAACTCTTATCATTGCAGGCATGAACTGTAACAATTGAATCTAAAACTCAACTTTTGTCACCTTTCAAAGTTTGAGTCTCATCCACACAAATTATCAAAACGACATTATCATCATCAAACATAACAGTAATAGTATCACTCTTTCTTTTATTCAATTTTTTTTCATCATTCACCTTTTTGAAAGTAACCATATACCTTCTCAGCTTTATGCAGTGCATTTAGATATATCCTTTTTTCACCATAATAATAACATTTTATATCATTGTAATCTTTGTCTCTTGACTTGAATTTTCTTCTTGATTCATCAATACTTTTTTGAGTCCTCTCTTGATTAAAACCCTTTACAACTAGTGTATTCCCTCCAGGTAATGAGTTTTATTTTTCTATAAACATTTTATTTTTACGCAACAAGACAGTCACATTATCCAAGTTCAAAGTAGACCTATCCATTAACAAAGTTTGAATTAAAGGTCTATTGGACTTGGGCAAAGATGACAGCAAAATTAAAGCATTCTCTTTATCTTCTAACTCATCAACAAAATCGTCAGCAAAATTAAAGCATTCTCTTTATCTTCTAACTCATCAACAAAATCGTCAGCAATTGAGAAATCAATCTATTAAACTCATTCAGGTGATTATGAAAACTCGCACTTTTTTTCATCTTCAGATAATGCAAATCCATCTTTAAACATAATATGTTAGTCAATGACTTTGAAGCATAAATACCTTCAAGCTTATCCCATAAAATCTTTGAAGTACTCTCAGTTAATACATTGTACTTTACCTTTGGGGTTAGCACCAATCTAATAGTGTTAACCATTTTTTTCTAAATTCTATTTCAATTATTGTAAAACATTCCCTTAGCCTTACTACTCTTTAATGTTTGATCCAATTCTTATTGTACTAAGAGATCTTGAATCGTACTTTGTCATAATATAAAAGTACTCTTTTCATCAAATAATGGAATCTCAAACTTAAGTATAAGCATACTAGACATACATTTTTCAAACATCTTAAAATATTTACTTCACGATCTCTCAAGCTTGCCTTTATTCTTTTCGAACCTCGCTCTGATACTACTTTTTGAAAAATTAACACATACATGCAACACTCACCACAAAATAGCAAGCTCAAATTAAGAATAAGAACGTATAAATATATTTATTTCAGTCCAACTTAAAATTAACTTCTCTAAATCCAATCCATTAATAAATAAATTTTTACAACTGTGAGACTTTTGAAATGAAAAAATTCATCAAAAACTCTTTACTCAAAACTCAATTACACTATTTTAATAACTTACTCACTTAGTTATTCTGTTGATGTCTAACTATCTAAAATAATCAAATTAAAATTAAAATATCTTATTTATAAAAATAAAATTTTTTATACATATATTAAATTCTTAATGTGGATATAAAATAAACTTAAATTCTTATAATTTCATTTAACTTTTGATGTGAGATTATGAAATTCAAAACATATTCTAACAAATATATACTAATTTATAATTGTACTATAATTATATTGTAACATACCTCTATTTTTTTTAAATAAATAAAACTTAACTTAAAAAAAAAAAAAAAAAGAAGCACACTAAAATGAGAAAGAAATAGAGGTGAGTCACGGTACTGCTCCCGTTGGGTGCCTGCTTTTTGCGCTTTGAATTACGTAATGGAATTGGTTGGCTATCAGCTATGATTATTCTGTTATGTCTACGTGCTCGATGTATTTCCCGCTGCCACAAATAAACTCTGTTTCTTGTAACTTGTAGCTGGTAGTACCCTCGGAGTTTGGGTCTGGGTTCCGTTCCACCCAATAATTTCTCCGTCACTACTTTTGTTCTTTTTCTGTGAAGGAATGGAACGGGGCTATGAGTTGGGCCACATGTTGGTGAGAGGTCTTCTTCTTTTAGGCAAATGTGGGCCCATTCTTCAAACATAATAAAAAGCACACAGCACCTTTTTTAAATTTTATTTTACACAATTTTATTTTTTATGAAGGAGATTAAGATCTAAAACAAAATTTTTGAAAAAAAAACTATAAGTGCTTAGTCAAATCTCGGTCTTATTAAAATGAGTAGACCATTTAGATAAATTTTAATTTGGTAAGTAATTCTTATTGTTCTCTCCATTTTAAAATATTGGTTATATATTTATTTTTATGAAAATTTTAAAATAATTTTAATTTTAATTTATTTAATATTAAATTTTATAATTTTTATAAAATTAAAATTTTATAATTTTTAATATGAAAAAATAAATATAATTTTAAAATATAAAAAATAAAAATTTTAGATATTAAAAAAATATAATTTTAATATATCTTAATAAATAAATAAATAAATAGGACAAAAGGAGCATTTCACTTTTTATTAATACATGTAACCTAATTCTTCTTATTTTTTATTACATAAAAAAATTAAAATTTCCACAGAGCAAAAACTTTACAACTCTCTCTTCTTTATAAAACAACTGAAATTATTATATTTAGATTTTCTTATCGAGAAAAGAAGAGAAATATATGGCCTCTCCTCTACACAGTCTATATTAAGAATAAATAAATAAATAAATCTCATATAATGCAACAAACAATAAAAAAAATATTACTACTGTTATAAACAAATAAATAAATAGGAGAAAAAAGAATGAATAAGAAACCGAGGTGAGACGATATAAACCGGGCTCGATGGGAGGGGGAAAGAGTAAGCTGGTCAGGCATTAGGCATTGGGCATTGGGCGTTGGGCAACATACAGAGAGACAAGGGGAAGGGAAGCTCATGTCATAGGTAGCCCCCAAACCCAACGAAAAGCAAAACAGAGAAAAGAAGACTTTGTCAAATGATGACGTAACCTTCATCCATTCATCCCCATTCCAGATTCCACCCTCCCAATTCCCACTACATCATCAACCCTTCCTAACCTTCCAAACTCGTCGGACAATTCTCATTTTTCTTTTAACAAAAAGGATACTCTTCTTCTTTTACTTTTTTCCTTACAAATTCTCCCAATTGGGCATCTTTTTTTTTTTTAATAGGGATGGATGTGGGTATCAATCGTAAGGGGGGAATCATGAATCAATTGTGAGATTCTGTGAGTGGTGGAGATTTGGGTTTTCTCAACTTTGCCTTGTCTTTTATTCTTCTTGATGGATAATCACCGCACTTAACTAGTTATATGTATAAAAAAAAGGTGCTAAATTGATAATCAGTAGTGAAATAATAATTAAGAATAATAATAATTTAAAAATGGGGAATGTCAATGGAAGAGAAGATGGGAATAGCAGCCCATCAGGGTTTGACGATGAAGGAGGTAACAGTGTTCACGAAGCTACGGCTGCAGCTATGGGTCACTCACCTCCTCACAGCCCCACAGCCACCCACTCTCCTCTCATGTTTACTCCTCAGGTACCCTATTTTTATTTTACTAGAACAAGCAAATATTTTTTTCCTACTTTAGACGGTTGGTTTTCGGGGATTCCGATTTCACGGAATGTGATTTTATTTTGTTGCGTGGGGTATGGAATTGTTGCTTAATTTATCGGGAATTCACTCCAAAGTTGTATCTAATTCCTTTCAAAAATTCCATTTGGGTATGTGTTGTTGCAGGAACGTTCTTTTTTTTTTTTTTTTTTTTTGCAATTTGGGTGGAGAGTCTTAGTGAGTGAGATCCCTATGTTTGTCAATATAAGGGGATGCTATTGGGTTGTCACAATGCTGGTTTCATTCAACTTGTGCAATAATTCATAGGTGTAACAAAGAAAATCTTCTTATGAGAAATTGTATGTGTTTACCGTGAAATAAGCTTAAACAATATCTGTTTTGCATGTGAATGGCCATAAAACGTGGTCAATTGATCAGGGTATGCTACTGTTTATACTCTTTCTGGCAGAAAATGGTAAACTTTTGCATTGATGCATGTCAAAAAATTTCCTATTGTAAAATTTAGGCCGGAGGTTTCAGATGGATAAAATTAGCCTAATCTATTTGATGTCTTTGACGCAGCCTTGGTTAGCAGTTTATGAAGTTTTAATGTGCAGGCAATAGGGGCCAATAGCTAGTTTCTTGTAACATCTGCAATTTAAAGACTTTTAAATAATTTAGCTCAGAGTCTAGGAATTTAGAGTTTATATCATTCTTTTGGTGTTCGGTTTTGGTTTTTGCTAGAACTACTAACTTTTTAGTAGTCCAAATATCCTTCAAGACAAGGAATATTCTTATTAATAATCCCCTTAAACACTTCATAGCCTTCCCACCGTTTTCCATATATAATAATCGGGCTCCTTTTTCGGAAACTCCAAGCAACACTTTGTTGCTCATCATCCACCTTCTTTCCCCTTTCTAGTCCTAAATCCTATGACCCTTTTCTTCTCCTAACCCAAATCCTGCCCTAATTCTCTTAAGCCTAAGCCTGTCACATGTCACATGGGCAGATTTCTCAAATCTGTTATTTTCTTAGTCTCCTTGTTTTGGTCCGTTTCTGAGTCATCGCAAGATAGATAGGAACCTATATGTATTTTGTGGTTAACTGTTTTCTAGCATGCTAGTATAAGAGCATGCATATTAATCTTTCATTCGATATTTTAGTAGCTGGAACATGCGTGCAGTTCATGTGATGTCTATTTCTCTAAAAATGCTGTCAATTTTATCCATTTTGCCTTCTTTCATCCCAGGTTCCAGTTGTTCCCTTGCAAAGATCTGATGAGATACACACACCAAGCCAATCATGGTTGCAGGCTACAATAGGATATGAGGATGGCTGCACTGAGAAGGGAATTCCGACAATGATTACATGGGGATATGGTGGCAAAGAAGTAGCTGTTGAGGGGTCATGGGATAATTGGAAGACAAGGTTCCAGATATTTAATGCCATCTACATTTTTATTAAAAGAAAATTAGTTAGCTCTTTATGAACTGGTACCTGCAGGTCAGACATATAACTTTTTTGCAATCTTGATCAGAATTCCTTTGCAGAGATGTGGAAAAGACTTCACTATTATGAAAGTGTTACCATCAGGTGTTTACCAGTATAGGTTCATTGTTGATGGACAATGGAGGTATGCTCCTGACTTGCCATGGGCACAAGATGACATGGGCAATGCTAACAACATTTTGGACTTGCAAGTAAATGCTTTCCTCTTTTTTCTTGTAAATATGTTCTACTATTTTTTGAATTCAGTATTTGTAGTTTTTAGCATTCCCAACTATTTGTTTTCATAGCATATGAGTGCTTCTATTTGGCATGCACGAATATATTCTCTCTTGTCCCGATGAAGTGAATTCCATTCTTCTGAACTCCTTTCAATTGAGCTATCTGTCTCAAATTAGCTTTACATGGACTGTTGCTTTTGTGATTCAACTCTATCAAAGTTCATGCTTTGGGGAAACTGCATATTTCTGTAATGGTTATAATCCATGTTTTCCTTTGCTGATGGCCTTAGCAATTTCAGCTTGGAATAAAGTCATTCTGTGGTGGTGTTTTCTATCGATACTGATAACATGTGCTTGTCAAGCTTGGTGTTATCGTTGGGTCTAAAGTTCATTTATTGCTGAGCAAAAGCATCAAAGCATTTTGTCCTACATGCGATCAAAAGCACCAACTCTCACTCAGCTGTAACTTTCAGTTTTATATATGCTATTAAATTGCTATATTTATTGCAAAGGTTTGGGTATAATCAACTTCTTAAACAAGTGGCATTGTAATGTACATTTGCAGTTCATGGATGTGCAGGAGTGCTATTGTGCATTCTTGCTTGCATTAGTGTCTTCTTTCTCCCTTTGCTTCATCACCTTGACTAATGCATAGCTTTCACAAACTCTTTAATTAGAAATATGCTGATTGTGAATAATGCAATGCAGGATTATGTTCCGGAAGATCTTGAGAGTATATCTAGTTTTGAACCTCCTCAGTCCCCCGAGTCGAGCTATAATGACTTGCCACTTGGAGCTGAAGATTTTGCTAAGGAGCCACCACTAGTTCCTCCACACCTACAACTGCCACTGCTTAATCTGCCTGCATCTCAGATGGAGATTCCACCTCCTCTGTCAAGACCTAAGCATGTAATTCTTAATCATCTCTACATTCAAAAGGGGAAGAGTGGCCAACCTGTGGTGGCACTTGGTTCAACTCATCGATTTTTAGCCAAGTATGTGACTGTGGTGCTCTACAAGCCTGTGCAGCGGTAGTATTAGATGGTGACTATGTGGACCTTGTAGTCTCCAATGATCGTGTGGTTAATATAAGTATCACAGTGTTGATGTTGTGTCGATGAATTAAGTAGCTTAGGAAGGAGCCACCATATGAAAACTTTGAAGATTCTATTTTTACCTAGGGAAATATTTCGTGATCATTGATCCATTAATAGTTATCCTTGTTCTTGTTGGGCAAAGTTATGAGAAATATGCTTTTTTTTTTTTTTAATTATCCATGCTAAGTGTTCCTGCATTAATTCGTTTGGTCCCTTGCAATTGAAATTAGGAAGAGTTTGGACTAAAATTCCCCTCAGTTAGCGATACTACATGCACTCAAAATTGGGTTGCCGCATAAATTAGAACCCGACCCTGATCAAACATAGAAGTGGAAAATATCTGAATGGTTTTAAGATTTTAATCAGACAGGGCTAGGGGCAGGGTGGCTTTGACATACGCCATTGATGGTGAAACTTAAAATCAAGGCATCCTCTGCTTTCTAGCATCCATTTTCCTATGCCTGGTATGTATCTCCAATGGCCGCTTTATACCTATCCCTGAGAAATTCAAAATGTTGCTTTGTTTTTGGTTTCAGTCCTATAACAGTTTTAATTTATTCTGTTGGAGATATATATATCTTCTTTCTCAGTCTTTTCGGATCGGCAAGTGTACAAGTATTGACATTGTAAATGAAAAGTAAAGCACAATTATTTTAAACTCTCGGATGTAGCAGGAATAGCTTCTTATTCATCTAGCAACATCTACGAGATGCTATCAACAGCCATATGACGAAAAAGCAAAATTCTGCTATTAGGCACAAAGAAAAGCATTACCTCCTCTTCAATTGAGAGGACATAAAAAGCATGTACATAAGTGGTCATAAAATTGTCTGTAACGGCTATAGTACATTAGTATTTCCCTTCCTGTCTCAAAATTAATCCGTTTCGCCTTTGACTTTTAAAGTCTTCGATCATCATGTGCATGGTCGATTTGGTCTATTTAAAAACCGGACATCCTTCAACCACGACACCTGGCGCTGTTGGACACGTTGCCAGAGGACAATGATCAAGGTCAGTGCCCCACCATTTCAAGTTATGGCCCTCATTTTGCAAAGCGAAAAACAGTAAAACACCCATGAAAGCAGTTCCAGCATCTAATGCTGCAGATAGAACATAGTTATATTTCTGCCACCAGCGCTTATGATACTTGAACACAAAATAGTTGAATATGGTTCCAGTGATAAGCCAGCTTGCTATATTCGTGGGAGTTGCAGGTGGCATTCCAGCAAAACCATAAGATATAACTGGTATGTTAATCAAGGGAATCCATTTCTTTTCAGGGAAAATTTTGCTCAATATCCAAACAGGAACAGGCAAGACCGCTCCAATGAGGAACAACCACACTAAGTTACGGTACATCCCTCCAGGTCCAAAAAGCCGCTTTGGTCCAATTAAGCCCCAAATAACAGAAGCATCAAAGGTGACTCGGTATTTAGGACAGGTCCATTGGCTCTCAGGATGCTTTCCTTCAACATCACAGATGTTGTCAATGCTATCTAACATCCACCATGCAACTCCAAGGTTGACAATACCTGCAACTAGAGTTCCCACAAGCTGGGAAACATAAAAACAAGTTCAATCATTTCATACTACAGAACGAAGTTTCAAAAGTTGTATAAGATCTTTAGAAGTCTTAATGAAAAAGCTAATGGGCAGAAGGTACCTGAGCTGTGTACATGCAGCGTGGTGGGATTTTCATGTAGTGCCCAAGTTTGAGGTCAGACAAGAAAGAAAGAGCATGAATTGTGCTGATCCGCCCATAAATCTTGAAAAGCAGGTTTGCAATGGGCTTTCCGGGTAAGATATAACCAATTATGAACTGGGCTATAACGTCATATCCAGGTTGCTGGAAAGTTCCACAAGTAGAAATGTTCTTAGAAGCTATATAATCAAGTCCATTCCAGGTAAGTCACAACAATACACAGGCATACTTTACCTGATTGGTAGTTGCCTGAATGACTCCAATAGGAAGGGTGACAATCCAAGCCAAACCAAAGGCAAAGAGTATACCCCACCATGGCAGCTGTACGTCCTCTTTCCACACAAAAGACATCAGGAGTGACAGAGCAATACTTCCGATCAATAAAATGTAAAACCACCATTGAGGCACTTGTTTGTATCTTTTCATCAGCCTTGCATGGATGTCCAACTTCACATTCTTCATTGCTGATCTGCTCTGCTTCAGAATATCACTAGACAAAAGAAACCGAGAATATTTATTTGACCTGAATGCATTATTTTTTATGACAAAAGCATACACAATCGAGGACTCTGTTTAATCTCTAAATTCTTCCAAAAGGTTAAAGCAAACAATTACAAGAATAAGTAAATTACATACTAAAGTTAAGAAAGCTGAAGCATCATTCAAAACGAACACTGATGACATTACTCAAAAGTCTTAAAACAGCACAAAGTGTACCTGCCATGAAACAATGCCACATGAGTGAGGGTTGCTGTGAATCTTGCGAATCCCGATCCAATAGATAAGGCAAAAAGAGGGCTAAGATAGAGTTTGCTATAACTGTTATAAGCAGAAACATTTAGATCATACTGCGGTGTCAAGATCTTAGTTGTATCATATTTATGCCCACTGGAAGTAAACAGCTGATTAGAGAATATTGGGAATCTTTGAGCGTCGAAAGTGTTAAACTTCCAGTAACACACAGGGACAATGATGTAGATAAACATGACAAAGCCTATCCCCACGTTGAGAATTGAGGACCAGGGCGTAACCAGTGGACTGCCATGATAAGCTGAGATCCCAGCCCAATCAAGGGTGAAGGCACCAATGCCAAGTCCATGGTATCCAGACCCGATTTGCTGAGCTGTGATACCATGGGGCCACACCCAACAAACCCATGAGAAGAATGTTAAGATTGGGAATAAATAGCCTGGCAGAGCATAATAAGCGAAGCTTGCCACCAGTGCAGCAAGAAAAAATTGCATTCGAGTCAATCCTTTCATTTTCGGGTCCTTTTCATGGAGTGCTCTGCAACAAAAAAGTTAAGAATCAAAAACTACATATTGATTGAGATGCTAAAATTTAGTTTGATGGAAATAAAAATAAAACTAGGTATAACATATTCTTAATGAACTCTTTCTCACAAAGGCTACCTTTATCCATGATCGCCAGAATATAATCAAACGCAAAATCCTAATCATAATGCAACCAAAATGGGTGAATTCTGTAGCATCCAGTTGTCAATACCTATATACTCTTCTTGTATGATTTATGCCTAATGTCCTCGGATAGAATATCATGATAATCCTCCAGTGAACATGCATATTGTTATGTGATATATATATAAGAAACCTTTTTCCATTAAAAAAATAAGGGGGATAATGGCACAGTTGCATTCTTGTCATTGATTGCTGCTCGTACATATCAGCTTATTCATTTAACCAAATTCAAAGTCTCGGATGCTTCCGCTGTTTATTTATGCATTTGATATCATATTTCAAGAGCATTTTGTTTATCTTCTAAATAGAATGTTTGAGCAGCAGTAGAATTCAAACTTATAAAAGAATAAACCAGTTGTCACCAATAAATAATACCATCCATTTGGGGCTAAGAAGATCCGTATGGAAAGAACAAAAATCAACGTCTATCCATTATGTAGTTAAATCTTCCTAGACTAACTCAAGTAATTGACATAATTTTGCTTGTGCACTGAAAAAAGGAGAGGTTTCTGTTATCTTGGGACCCAGTGAACGAAAAGTCTAAGATTCTAAACGTATAACTTTTTCTTTTTGCATTCTAAGAAATTTCCTACCGACCAATTAGAAAATCATGATAACGAAAGGTAAAAGAAGGTAATGGAGTAAAAGACGGACCGAAACAAAGAAACCTGAGCCAGGTTTGAAGGCCACCACATTTCTGCAGGATCAACCAGGTACCTCCGAAGCATACCAGCCCATCCATACCCCAAAATCTGCATATCATGATCAAGAATATTACTATTAGATGAACCAAATACACTAAATTTATAGTAGTTGAAACTTGAAACTGCCAGATAGATGGTCATTTGATTGTGAGACACGGTCCAGAAATCTTAAGCAATTCAGATGCCCGGCAATTAGCACTTTCTCTATCTGCTCTGCCCCATGAGAAGTATAAATTGAGAGGGGAAAAACTGAATTCACCCCCCCCCCCCCCAAATTCCAAAAGGGAACACTTACAATTCGACTGAAATGTGCAATGAGCCGTATACATATATACATATATATATATATATATATATATCTTCTCCAAAATTGTAGTAGTAGTAGTAGTAGTATTAATTTCAGTTCTCGATGCAAGTTTCAGATAATCTTATCACTGTCATCAGTCAAAGATTCAGTTAATAAAACTAATTTAAAATATCGTTCTTGCTATGTGCTGCAGTTTTTAAAACCATAAGAACAATAAAATAACTTAAAAAGAAAGCGAGAAGACCCGAGATTCAATATTAATAAGGAAGGGTCAAACTAAAAAAAGTAGTAGCAAAAGGAGTGTCAATGAAAAACCTGAGTAGTCAAGACAATAAGGAGGCCGCAGAGAAAATTCAAGCTCTGTTTATAATAAGCCTTCATGACAGTAATGGCACCAATGGAATAAGCATCACCTCCACCAAAAGACACCCCACAATTGGCAAAGATGGTGATAATGACATGCTCCTTCATGTTGAAGGGCCCAGGATTCAAGCTAAAGCGCCATCCAAGAAGACTGTACTCCGTGGTTGGCAGAGTCCTAGCCATGAACTTGCCAACGGGCAAGACAGAGATTTGCATGAGGATTGCAGAGATGGTGAGTGGTTGCGTACGGTAGGTGAAGAAAGTGTTAAGAAAGATAAGCAGCGCGCATGATGTCAAACCAAGAAACCAAGCACGAAAGGTCATGACTGGCAGAGTAGGGTCATCTGTTTCGGGAACGACCAACGCCACCTCCTCCACCGGCGTCCTCTCTTCATCCTCGGTGGCAGCCGCATTTGGTTTCTCTGGATCTGTGAGGGTCTTGCTGGCCATTGAAGCAGGAAAGATTAAAGAGAGACACAGTGGTAAGTAGAGTTGTTGAGTATACTCTTATCTGTAGTTTAACAAGATTAGAAGAGAAGTGAAGTCTAAGTCTCAAGCTCTAAAGTTAGGTATTATGTTGAAAAAATTGATGATAAACAGGTGGTTTATATAAGGCACAATGCACTGCTCCTGCTTTGTGATGGAAGTCTGGCCTTGGGACTTGGGAGAGAGAGATTACATATGCAATGACAGAAATGGCCTTGCTTTTGTTTGGTAGGTAACGATAATTTTTTTTTTTTTTTTACCAAAAATGAGATCAGGATTTGGGGATAATGAAACGGGGAAATTATTTGATATAATGTCATTAAAATTTTTTAATTTTATAAGTAGAATTAATGTGACACACAAGTTTCATTTGTTTTTTAATTAGTTTTTTAATTTTTTAAAAATACATTTTAAGATAGTGTTTGTTACAAGGTAATGTTATATCTTATATAAATATATAAGAATTAAAACTTTTGATAAAAATAAAAAAAAAAATTTTATGTGGACGACTTAAAATGTTAACTTGTGACCGGTCTTAAAAATCGTTATGTGACATTTAATAAATGAATTTTATTTTATTTAATATACTTTTAATTTAAAAATAATTCAAAAATTAAATTAATTATATTTTTATTTTTATTATTAACTTTAAATCACTTTCAATTCAATTCATATTAAAAGTATTAAATTTTTAAAAAAATTTTAATTTGATAAATTAAATTAATCAATATATAATTAATAAATTAATAAATATTACAATTACAATTATAAAATAGTTAATTCTCTAATCAATTATTTAATACATTTATATTTGATTAGATATTGTATCCATTTGAGTAATTAATGTATTTCATGATGCATTTCATGAGTAAATATATAAAGCAAATATATCAAATTAATTTTTCATAATTAAATTAATGACATAAAATATTTTTATTAATTTATATTTGATTGATACATTTATTTTTCATTAAATATGATTTCATTCAATAAAATATTAATGCACGTTGATTTTATTTGTTTTTATTTATAACGTTTTATAATTTTATTATTTGATATTAATACACATTGATTTAATTAAAATTTAATTTGTTTTATTACCATTATTAAATATAACAAATTTAATTTGTTTTATTGTTCTAAATTAAGGGATTTGTAAATGTTAATGGCAGAATAAAATATTTCAATATCAATCAATTTATCATTGTTAAACCATTATTCACTCATAATTTTTATTATTTCAATATTAATTTTCATAATTTAAAGTTATCTTATTAATTAACTATATTTATGTTTTTACTATTAATTTTAAATCATTCTCAATTCAATTCATATTAAAAGTATTAAAATTTTAAAATTTTCTTAATTTGACAAATTAAATCAATCAATATATAATTAATAATTTAATAAATACTACAATTATAATTATAAAATAATTACTTCTCTAATCAATTATTTGATATATTTATATTTGATTAAATATAGTATCCATTTAAGTAATTGATGTATTTCATGTGTAAATATAGAAAGCAAATACATTAAATTAATTCTTCGTAACTAAATTAATGGGATAAAATATTTTATTAATTTATATTTGATTGATAGATTTATATTTCATTAAATATGATTTCAGTTGGTAAAATATTAATGCACATTTGATAAAATATTAATGCACATGAATTTCATTTGATTTCATTAGTAACGTTTTATAATTTTAAAATCTATATATTAATGCACATTGATTTAATTAAAATTTAATATGTTTTAGTGTCATTATTAAATACAAAAAATTTAATTTGTTTTAGTGTTCTAAATTAAGGGATATGTAAATGTTAATGGCATAATAAAATATTTCAATATCAATCAACTTACCATTATTCATTTACAATTTTCATTATTTCAATATTAACTTTTATAATTTAAAATTATCTTATTAATTAACCTACAACACATATTTTGTATAAGCAGCTCTAGGTTAAGCATAATGCATCTTTAATCACTTTTCACTAATTTTATATCTTTTGATCACTACTCAACTATATTTCAATTTTCTCTTTGAGTTTCATTTCGCATCGTTTTTTGGTCTGTACTGCTGAAAAGTTATTCTCTTTTTATATTTATATTTTTATATTTCTTTAACTATGAAATTAGATTTTTTTAATTTTTTTTGTTGATGATTGATTTAAAGATAATTGGATATATATAGGGAAAGTCTTTTACCAGTAGACTCACTACCATGAAAGTTGATACCATTTTTTATTAGTACTATATGTCATGTGGGTGTACCCTAATCTAACTCCAAGGTAATTAATATTTATATTTTTTATATTTGATAGATAAAAAAAATTATTATTCCATGATGATAATAAAAATATTTTAAATTATTATATTATATTTATAATTGTAGAATTTTCCATTTTTATAGGTATAAGTTGAATATTGAAGTAAATAATAATTCTGAAAGGGCGATGTTTATACTGTTCAATATAGAAGCTAATGATTTAATTAATAGAGATATTAACGATCTTTATGAAATATCTGTTAAGATATTGAGTTAAAAATTATTTTAATATTATTTAATATTTAAATTAATTGAATGATATATTTATACTTATAATTTAAGAAAATGGAGATTATAAAATCTAAGAGATATTTGAAGACTTCATAGGTAAAATGTGTATGTTCAAGATAAGGACAATCAAGTATAATCTTGAAACAAGTAGTATCAAACTTACAGTGAATAAAGTGTATAATTTTGATCATAAGCTTGAATGTAAAAAATTATTGGAAGAGGTATGTATAAGATTATTACAATGATTATGTTTGTTATAAAGTTATATAGTTTTATATTATAACTTAACTATTGTCAAATTATAGATTACTATTTTATTTATCTCTTCACCTTTATCTGTGAAATTTATTGGTTTATCAAGTAAAATGACACATACTTCAAAGATAGCAAGAAATATTAGAGAATCAATTGTTGCATCTTTGTTTCAACAACAATTTATGGAAGAATCTTCCCATGAAAAAAGTTTGTATGCGAGATTGATATTAAGGATAAAATTTTAATTTCTTTAAATTGAAAATATTATTGTTTTTTGTTTAGAAATTATTTGGATTTACGAAATTATAGTTTGAGTTTTCTTTATAATTGATGATAATTGCATAAATATATTCAATAAATAATTAATTTACTTTATTATATTGAAATATATAAATTTAAATAAAAATGATTATATAAGTTATGAGTTGCTTATAAGCTTCATAACTTATATTATCATTTTAAAAAATTTATATTTATATAAGATTTATTTATATATGAATATATTTTTGTGCATTACACGAGTTTAAAACTAATTATTCTAAAAATTATGATAATTTATACATAGTGATTAAATCATTATGATTGATAAGCATTCAATGATTCTACATGAGGTGGTCTTAAATCATTTAGAATAATCATATTGTTACCTTGAAAAATGATTTAATTTTCATACAAAAATGTGAGAAACTTTTATCACCGAAATAAAATAATATGTAAAATTAACAAGAATCGATTTTAACCATTTAATATATAAATTAAAATTTTATTGCATCTTAAAATTATAATTATTTTATATTATAAATTTTTATATTTTTAAGCTAATAATCATTATAACAAATTCAAAATAATTTGGTATTATTTTACTTTTTTAATATTTTATATGCAGGATAAATTTTTTATTTTCCTTTTATAATGAATTTATAGATTGATTTTATTTTCTAATTCAAATATATTTTAGATAATTTACATTATAAAAATCAATTTGTTTATCAATAAATATAGTTATTAATTTAATTATATTTTATTATAAATTAAATATTACTATTATTTTATAAATTATTATCTTTAAATATTAATAAATTATTAATTTGTGTAACTATTACAATATTTATGATTATTTTCATACTTTTAAATAAAATAATATTATATTTTTAATAATATCAAATATAGTGATACTTAATTTCTAATAATTAATCATTATTAATCAAATAAAATGATTTTGAATCATGAGTTTAAAATCAATTTGATAATAAAATCAATTTAATAATTACATTACAATAATAATTTTATAAAAAATATCAAACATTACCTAAAAAATATATATTATTTTATTAATTTCACTTATAAAATTAAAAAATTTCATTATCACGATTAACTCTAATGCAATTATCTAAGCCTTTTTCTTTTCTTAATTTCTTTGTGCCAAGATAAGAGAGGAGAGATTGCTGGTTCTTGGTTGGGTCTTCATTTTGATTTTGTCTGTTTTCTGTTTACTGTTCTGACTCATGTGATGAATTAACCATTGACTGGATTTCGTTGACGATAATACCCTTTTTGGGCATTGAGAAATTCCTTTTTTTTTTTTTTTTTTTATGTCTAATTTTGAGTTCGGATTGACCTTGGTTTTGTCAAAAGCATTAGGTTTGACGGACACATCTTAGTAACAACAAGAAGAGATTGTATAATTCTAATTCTTTTTACGGTGAAAATCTATAAAGATACGTTATAATATAAATGCAAAGATTTAACTTTATATTTGCAATATGTTTGTTACAAACAAAATCATGAGAACTTTAGGGTAAAAAGAAAAATACTTGACATGTTGACTGCAACTAGCAAGTTTTCACTTTAATTGTATGTGTTTTTGTTATTCTACTAATTATATTAGCAGTTTGTAGAAGGGAAAGTTGTTTTAGTTTAGCTATTCTCCTATATATAATATAATATATATATATATATATGTGTGTGTGTGTGTGTGGGTATATGCTTCCTCTTAATTTATTACTCCTAAAACTACTAGGAATTTCATAATAATAATTAATAAGAAAAAAAACTACTATAGGAATGGTATTTTATGTTTTTAGACAGCATTAGTGGCAGTTTTGTCATTTTAAAATGAATCGGGAAGGAGGATTCATTGGTAAATCGAAATGGTTTGTTTGATTAATTAATTAATTAATTAAAGTGAATTAATGGAAAGTGAATCAATTCATTGCTCATTACTCGTTACTATTGTTAATAATAAGGTTCCTTTATTTTGTAGAAATTGATTTTTTTTTAATTTTTTTTAAAAATATTTACATTTTTTGTTATTTAAATAAGTT